TTGCTGACACCCTTCCATTGCGGCCGTCTAGTGCCTAGTGCTCCTCCATTGAGTTTTGATGCTGTTTTGTATCCTTATTTCTCAGGAAATGCATGGAAAGTTCACCTTTAAGTTCAGATGGCCTCTGTGGAAGCTCCAAACCGTGTCTTCAGTGCATGATGTTCATTGCTACTCAACATGAACGAGGTGTGTCCTTTTAAAACATGTTGCAACTCTTCCGAGAGGTAAATTAGAAGTTGCTACTCAATTTATTGTGATGAGAATGCGCTTTTATCCTTGCATAGAATATACATTGTGCGCATGCATAGAACGTACATTTTACACATATGGTCTTGCATAGAATATACACTTCTCCCTTCATGCATAGAACATGCTGTTAGTACATTTGCATAGAACATGCCTTAACATTAGTGCAATTGTGCATAGAACATGCACCTTTACTATGTTGTACCTGTTGATTTTTTTTCTTACGCAGGTATGATATTGTATGTATGGTTCATTCAACGGAGCCAACACAGTCAAACGATATTGTATGTACTGTTCATTAAGAGGAGTTCCGGGTGAAATCATTCATGCCCTTTGAATCACATCTTTTTACTCCCTCTCCTTACGTGTGAGACGCGTTAGGATTACTCATTTTGCTTAAAAACATTTGGGTGCGTCCTGATGTTCACACCACTCCTTTTGGTTAAAAGCATTTGGATGCGTCCCGGAGTTCACACCACTCCTTTTGGTTAAAAACATTTGGGTGCGTCCCGGTATTCACACCACTCCTTTTGGTTAAAAACATTTGGGTGCATCCTAGTGTTCACACCACTCCTTTTGGTTAAAAACATTTGGGTGCGTCCCAGTGTTCACACCACTCCTTTGGTTAAAAACATTAGGGTGCATCTCGGTGTTCACACCAATCCTTTAGTTAAAAACATTCGGCTGCGTCCCGGTGTTCACACTACCCTTTTCCTTCTCACGTGTGCAACACATTAGGATCTCAGTTGATACCTCGGGTACGCCCAATGGTCGCTCTTTGCCTTTCTTGTGCATTGCGTAGTTAAGCTTTCATAATTTTCTTACATCATTTCTGCATGAAATGTGGTTTGATTTGTAATTCCCACGTGTGGCATGTTTACTCACTTACTTTTGTGTTTGAGGTTGCTATACCTTGTTTCGGTTTGTTTAAACGTGACATTTTCATTGCATAGCATTTGCATCTAAATGTTTCATTACAGCTTCATTGCATGATCATAAGTTATGTTCCTGCATCGTGCATATCACTTGCATCTTGCCCTAGAACTACTCTGGTTTGACTCCTTGTAAAGGGATACGTAGGCAGCTTGCGGGCGTAATAGTTTTTGTGTTGCTTGTTTGTTTGTCCAAGTCTTCGGCCTTGTCAAAATGGGTTGTCTCTTGGCTTTGGCATTCACTCCCGTCACTTCATGACTTCCGAGTTCTGTCAAAGAGGGGCAATTGTCGACAGCCCATTTTTGACCGTCCTCAAGACTTGGACGTCATCACTTTTGCATATGATGATTGTGATTGCAAGTGTTCGTTTGAGTGCCCGAAGTCCTCGGCGGAACGCCCTGTCTTTGAGCCATTAAACCTTGTCTTTTCTATGCCTTGTTTTGGACCAAAACTTGGTGTCTGGACCTCTTGGTGACCTGTCGGCCACCACCATAGGCTGTTGGCCATGGCTCATGGTTGTTGGCTATTGGTGTGGTCGGTCAACCACCAGTGGTGGCCGACGGCCACCACTGTCTTTTTCCAGATATTTGTTGACAGTTGTGACAGTTGTTAGCACTTTGAGCTACATCTCCCTACATGTGTATGGTGGGATGTTTCTAAGCTCAAGGCTTGTTTTTCTATATATAGGGGGGGTTCCTCTCTCATTTTTGAGGGTTAGAAATTTTGGAACAAAAAATCTCTCTCTCTCTAGATTTCTCTCTCTCTCTCTCTTGCCTAGTTTCTCTACACTTTTGCATACACATCCTAAACCAAATCCTCTCACCTTTGAGTTGAGGTTCCTTGGGACTTGTTTTGAGCTCTTGAAGGTGGTTTGAGCTTGGATTGTTGGCCAAATTGTGTCTTGGCTTCAAGAGGTATAACACTTTCTCTTTATACTTGTTTTGTATCCTTGCTTTGCCATCTTTTTCAATTGTTTTGAGGTTGATTTTGAACTGTAAAAGGCTCTATTTTTATGGCTTAAAAGTGTTAGTTTGAGGCCATTTTCAATTAAGGGGTGGTTTATCCTTCTTGCTTCTTAGTTTGTAAAGCTTTGGTACCTCTGTTCATCACTTTCAAACCAATTTTTTTGGGCCTTTTAACCACTGAATTTTAGAGGTTTTTCAGTGGCAAAAAACTTATTTTGAAGTCAAAATTTGGAGGGGTTAGCCTCCCCTCCTTGTGCTATGTTTGCATACTTAGTTAGCGTCACAGGTTAGCATGTTTTTCTAGCTTAACTTAGCTCAGGTCCAGCATTTTTTAGTCTTTGAAATAACCTGTTTTTGCTCTGTTTGGCCTGGTTAGTTCATTTGAGTCTTGTTTTGCATAGTTGTAGTGTAAATCCTTTCACTAGCTTGGTGTTTTTAGGCTTTAACCATAATTGGTTTGAGTTGATTGCATGTTTTAGTGCTTTTTCTCACCTAATTTCAGCACTACAATCTCTGCAATCCCCCTCAATTCTTCACTCTTTTGTTTTGCTTTGAAAGTGGTTTCAAACTACTTGTTTTCCTAAGTGTGAAATGGAGGTGCTACACCCAATGGTTTAATCCCTTAGGGGGTTCGTTACCAACAGTGTAATGCCTCTTTCATGCCCAAAGCAACTTGTGGTTTGAGCCCTCCTTCCATTAGAGGACACTCACCAATGAACTATTTGATTAATGAATGGTTTGGTCATTAACATGTGAAAACAAAATCGGCAAGATAAGCATTCTTTGTGTTGCATTGCTTCTGTTCAAATCGGATGTTAATTTGAACACAAGAAAAATGAAACATTTTATACTCAAAAGTGATGAAACGTGTCATTTTCCTAGGTCTCCATTGCCCTTGATCATGCATGATAGGGTGATGGTCATTTGAGTCTTGTTTTGCATTCGTTAAACTTGTACAAACTTGGTTCTTTGGTCATCATGCAATGAAATTGCTTGGTTGATGGTTTGGGAGCCAAGAGTATCACTCCTTTAAACTTGTTTGATGATAAGGAGGATAACATTATAAACAAACCTTCAAAAAGTACACTGTTTTGCTATGTTTTCTCTCTGTTGTAACAAGGAAGTCCAAGTTAGTGGTGATCGACGGCCACCACCAGTAGCCGACCGGCCACAATTGTTGACTGACCGGCCACAATTGTTGGCCAACCGACCATCAGCAGTGGCCGACCGGCCCCCTTGTCAGCCACCAATGCAAATTCAACAGTGTGCTCCTAAGACAAAATAGAGTTGATCTAGAAAAGGAGAAGGTGTAAGTGTTTATTTGCAAACAGAGGCGATCAATAGCAAAATAGTGACCTTTTGGGTGGAAACTGAGCACGTGCATGAGCCTCCCATGCATTTCAAGCTTATTTAACGTTTAAATATCTAGCTTAAATACATGTTGTAATTAATTAGTTGTAGCTAATTAAGAATTGTAAATAATTTGTTAGTTTAACTAGTTGTTCGATTTCGTTTTGTAATAAGTTAACTAGAATAGTTAATTAATTCGAGTTTTGTAATAATTAGTTAGCTTAATTAGTTTAGTGCAGCTAGTTGGTTAGCTTATTCATTCGGACCCTCCTTCACAAGGGCATAATGTTGTAATAAGTGTGCGTGCATGTGTGTATGTCTTCCAACCCCACGTCTTTCTCTATTTTATTTAACCGCTTTTGATGGTTAGATTAGGGACATACTTCAATTACCATATCGCATGCTTGCATTCATTCATCTTGTCTTGCATGCACCGAGGCTCGGCGCATCATTCAAACATCTTCTTTGAATACGTGTTTAATCGCATGTTGTTCAAATCGATCCATATGCCATACTAGTAGCCGAGCCTATTAATTGCATTATTGCGTGTGTTGCATTAGGCGTCTTTGTATAGTTAGGAATCATGCATTATTTACTAACTCATATTTTCCTAGCTTGGAGTGCTAGGCGAGTTTTACGCTTTAGCACACTTGCATGAATGTGAATGTTGCCATGATTAGCATGCTTGCCATCAGGCTATGTGCTTAAATGCTAAACTTCTTGAATGCCTGTGGATGAAGGCTTGTTGTTTGAATTGGAACGATTCAACGAATGTAAGTTTTAAGCCCACTTTGTTGAGTGGCAAATCATGTTTTAAGCCCACTATGTTTGGTGGCAAATTCGCAAACTTTTAAGCCCACTTGAGGTGGCAAATTCAAGGCATTTTCGCAAAAACAAACATGAGTTGAATTGTTCCAACTTAAGCAAACTAGTCTGTACTTGCTTGTGCGCATCACATAGTAAAGCTTGTTTAATAACCGAAGCGGGAGCAACTAATGTATATAAAAAATCATATCAAGATTAGTAGAGGCCGATCTTTGATCGGGCGAGCGGGGGTGCTCAATTCATGACCTTCCTGTAATAACCCGACCCTCATATCTGTTTCTAGTATATTTTCGATCTGTTATTCTGTGTATTTACTTTCTTTCTGTGAAAAGTGATTTATATCAGTGGCATTTTTATTAGTGTATTTGGAACCTCCCTATTTTATTTTGGGGTATTGATTGTGGTGGTAATATGATGGTGAGGTAAGATTGGACCAAAAACTTTAATTCGACCAAATCGCCCACGATCAGCTGTTACTCTTCTGCCCTTTTCTTTTTCCACATTTAGAATTTCGATGTGAGGCTAGAACCATTGGAAAGCTTATTTTCGGGGCTACAATTTGGACATAAGAATGACCTTAAACGTAGTCCGGATGAGAGAGTTATGCCTGTTTGAAGTTTTCATATCTGTGCTGGAAGCAGGACCGCACGTGCGGGAAATGCGGCGCACGTACGGCGATGTGCGGGGCAGCAGCTCAAAAACGTGATTTTGGAGTCATTTCTTAGATTTTCTTTTCCTCTCTTCTTCTTCCCTCTTCCATGTCCGAAACCCTAGCTCCCAAAACCTTGATTTCCTCCACTTTTCTCAACAAATCAACCATGGATCTTGCATCAAGGATGGAGAATAAGAGGAGATCACCACTTTCTACCGAATGGAATTTCGAAATTTTTGAGGTATGTTGGGGTTCTATTATGGGGTTTAGAGTATGGTTTATGGGTAATGGACCTAGGGTGCCTAACAAATGGGAAGATTTGAAATAAAAAGTAATGGGTTAAGAAGATTTAAAATTTTATTTGAAATTTGTAGATTTCTTAGAAACCCTAGGTTGATTTTTGATGATAATCCATGATTTGGCCCAAATTGATAGTTGAATCATGAAAGTGGTAGGTTGAATTAGATGTGTTCAAATTTAATTGGAATTTGGTTATGTTTGAAAATATGTTTAAACTTTGCGATTGAGCTTTGTTAAATGCATTGTGAATTATGTTTTAATAAAGGGGAAATTTGGGGGAAAAGATTTATTGATAATGTGGATGATATAAATTCGATTATAGAATGTTGAAATGGAATTTAAGAATTCCTTTTGAGATATGTTGAATTGTGATGATTATGTGGGATGATATTAACTATGTTGATATTAATTTTGTGACCTAAAATGTGAAGTTTTCAAGAATGGGTTTAATCCCAAATCATTTTACTAAATATTTGTGGGCTTGCTTAGTTATTAAACCAAGAGAATGATTTAATAGGATTTCTTATGGGGATGGGGAAATGTTTGGTTTTTAGTGGAAACACTAGAAATTTAAGGAGTTTTGGGGAACATGGAAATATTCATAAAAATCCTTTCTTTCTTTGAATAGAAGAGGAATGGGTATAAATTCCATAATGTATTTTGTAAGACCAGTAATCTTTTATATATATATATTGAGTTGGAGAAGTAGGTTTGAAACTTCATGCTGCAAAATATTGTTTACTCTGTTTTACATTCTTAACCCTCTGGTATTTCTGGAATTTGTGTTTGATGCCCTTAATGTATAAGTTGTTTACATGTGTAGGGCATAACCTGAGAAGGACAAGCACTCCGTTATAGCACTGTGAGTAGTAGTATGAATATCTTCTTTACATATGGCTAATGATTTTCATTAGCATTTCGTTTACGCAACCATGTTAATGTTTCAAGTATGCAACTATGTTAATGTTTCAAGTATGTATGTTAATGTTCAAGGATGTTCCAAGTATGTAAAGAAAGAAATGGGAAAGATAAAATACCTTCATTCTATAAGACTCTGGGCCTACGGCCATTCAATATAAGTTGTTATGATATGAAACAAAGTGCTACACGGAACTAAGTGCTACGACGTGAGCCACCTCTAGAATCCGTGTGAGACACCTCTTGAGTTCATACAAGAATTTACAAGGGCATTCTTAATGCCAATTTACAAGGGCATTCTTAATGCCAATTTACAAGGGCATTCTTAATGCCAATTTACAAGGGCATTCTTAATGCCAATTTACAAGGGCATTCTTAATGCCAATTTACAAGGGCATTCTTAATGCCAATTTACAAGGGCATTCTTAATGCCAATTTACAAGGGCATTCTTAATGCCAATTTGCAAGGGCTTTATGCCACCTTTCAAGGGCTTTATGCCAATGTTTAAGGGCTTGTGCCACACCATTCAAGGGCTTTATGCCAATGTTTAAGGGCTTGTGCCACACCATTCAAGGGCTTTATGCCAATGTTTAAGGGCTTGTGCCACACCATTCAAGGGCTTTATGCCAATGTTTAAGGGCTTGTGCCACACCATTCAAGGGCTTTATGCCAATGTTTAAGGGCTTGTGCCACACCATTCAAGGGCTTTATGCCAATGTTTAAGGGCTTGTGCCACACCATTCAAGGGCTTTATGCCAATGTTTAAGGGCTTGTGCCACACCATTCAAGGGCTTTATGCCAATGTTTAAGGGCTTGTGCCACACCATTCAAGGGCTTTATGCCAATGTTTAAGGGCTTGTGCCACACCATTCAAGGGCTTTATGCCAATGTTTAAGGGCTTGTGCCACACCATTCAAGGGCTTTATGCCAATGTTTAAGGGCTTGTGCCACACCATTCAAGGGCTTTATGCCAATGTTTAAGGGCTTGTGCCACACCATTCAAGGGCTTTATGCCAATGTTTAAGGGCTTGTGCCACACCATTCAAGGGCTTTATGCCAATGTTTAAGGGCTTGTGCCACACCATTCAAGGGCTTTATGCCAATGTTTAAGGGCTTGTGCCACACCATTCAAGGGCTTTATGCCAATGTTTAAGGGCTTGTGCCACACCATTCAAGGGCTTTATGCCAATGTTTAAGGGCTTGTGCCACACCATTCAAGGGCTTTATGCCAATGTTTAAGGGCTTGTGCCACACCATTCAAGGGCTTTATGCCAATGTTTAAGGGCTTGTGCCACACCATTCAAGGGCTTTATGCCAATGTTTTTATTTATCTATTTATTTTTAATGCTTCCGTTCAGGCCCCATATGATATATATATAACAGGTTAAGTGTCCGTTACTGAAGTGGTCATGCCCAAACTTTTAGGGGCGAGTTGTGGGTATGACAAGTGGTATCAGAGCACGAGTTGCTATCTCACACACTCCATTGAGCTTTGGGATGTCTAGAAAATACTTAGGCATCATGCATGACATCCTTAGTGCATATGAAAGGAATTGATAGCAACGATAATGGTATATGTAATGACGCTAACCGCAATGGTTATTATTCATGTCTGTTATACATTTCTTGTATATATTGTGATTGATTGCTCTGCTGAACATGGTAAGACCTGCAGATTGGATTAAATCAAGCAAGTTGCGCAGCGGAAGCGTGGCGAGGATTCGAGCTAGTTGGTAAGACAATGTATATGCAAATGATTAGATGAAATATGAGTTATCATGGGAATAATGATAATATTAATGGGCTTTTAGCATCTGCTTAAGTGACTTGATTAAATTCTAAGTACCGAATATTCCTAAGATCAAAGGAAATGCTATATGTATGATACTCTTAGTTATGTTTTTCTTGCCATAACCATGTCGAGATTCGTGATTTTAAGAATTTATTGTGTTTGAATATTTTCATAAGATGTGTTTTGTGTAAGGATTGAAATTGTGTTAAGTACGACCGATTCTAATAAAAAGTCAGGCATGTAGTGACCCCCTAAAGTTGTGAAAAGGATCAAGTAATTGTGACCTTGCTTCTTGCTAATGATTTAAATAAATAAGTTATATTGACGAGTTAGTTAAGGATCTTGAAAGAGTATGTAAGTAATATGATTTCGTGAATTAAGGAAGGAGTAGTGTTTGTGTGTAACTGGAATTTGATTATGGGAATCTGTAACCATAATTCTGTCTGTACTCTGCCCTCTGTAATCTGTAATCTGAAACCTGAAATCTGAAATTTGTAATCTGTTTTGTTTATGTTACGTCTGTAATCTGTAATCGGGATTTCTTATGAGAAATGCCCGAAGAACATGAAGAGCCTCACCTATCTTATATGTTTGCGTATATAACACCTATAAAGGGGTAGTTAAGGACTACCGTGAAACTAAATTCAATGAGTGGGATCTGATAATTTGCTGCAAGAACGAAAACCCTACCTATGGGTATTAATGATTGAGAAATCATCTCTGTAATATATTTCTGTGAAGATATGTAAAGGTTAGATATTGCAATTTGATCCTTTATTGCCTATTGGAAGACCATAATGTAAATTATTCTGTATGACACTGGGCATTTCGACAGAAACAAATAGTTATGGGGGGGATAATCCATAATGATGAAGGGCCAACGATACGTACGGGGTATCCACTTCCTCTTGCATGTTATACAAATTTGTACAATACGCACTACATGATTAAAGCACTTTACCGTTATACTGTTGAATTTCTAGATATTATGGAACCCTAATGGATGTGATTATGGTATATTTATTGGAATTATGACCCTATAAATGGACTTAACCAGACTTATGTATGTGGGATATTGAAATGATTAAAGGAGAGGTCAACTTAAGAAGAATGTTTCTAAGAGAAGACGTTACGCCTTAAAGTTATGACTGATTAACTGACCGTGATTTTGAATTTGATTCTGGTTTTATTTTTGGATGGCTCCCTACGCTTGGAAAGATAGTTACCTTATATGTTTTTATTGCTCATATCCAAACTTAGGATATTCTGATTAAGTGTCTCTCATGGCGTACTTACAGGAAATTGTACAAATGTATGATGCTATGTTATGATATTATTGTAACTGTTGGATTTGGACTATGGTTCTCCTTGCGTTACGGTATTTCTTTCCATTATTCTGACTTTGCCCAAATTCGTATGTGTGGTTTTGAGTCCATATAACATTATGAATTTGACACGTTTACGGAAATAGAGAATACTAAGAACAAATGTGAAGCTAGTGACTATATGCTTACGCAACTTATTATGCCTGTTGGAATGATGCATACCTTGTTAAATGGACTGAACCTTGTGGATGGCTTTGGTATTTAATTTCATGATGCATTATATGATATGAATCTAATTACATAATTGATTTTTGTGACGATGATAGACAGTTTGGGTTACCAGCTTATCCCTAAGTGACTTATAATACGGGACTTATCAAGTAATGGGATTTGCATATGAACATAGCAAAGAACATATGGTGATTGAAATTAATGCATACTGTGGAATGTATGAATTCCGTGCCTAGGAAAACGAAATCTATTATACTTCTGTATTTAAGAATTGTATGTTCTGTATTTGGGCATTAACACTGTGGAACTTATTGATGGGGAAATATTGTAATGATAGACCCTACCTGCTGAGGATTTTCTGTCTTGCATATTCTGCAATGGACTCGTGTAATCTTATCTTCCTTATCGCAATAAGTGTGGGATTACCCTGTGAATTGTTCGAACCAAAGTATGTAAATATTTATGAAAGAATTGAACAATAATGTGAGACTGAGATTTCTACTTTATCATATGGTAAAACAAGTTTGGAGGACCAAACTTATTTAAGGGGGGGAGAGTGTAATAACCCGACCCTCATATCTGTTTCTAGTATATTTTTGATCTGTTATTCTGTGTATTTACTTGCTTTCTGCGAAAAGTGATTTATATTTGTGGCATTTTTATTAGTGTATTTGGAACCTCCCTATTTTATTTTGGGGTATTGATTGTGGTGGTAATATGATGGTGAGGTAAGATTGGACCAAAAACTTTAATTCGACCAAATCGGCCAGGATCAGCTGTTACTCTTTTGCCCTTTTGTTTTTCCACATTTAGAATTTGGATGTGAGGTTAGAACCATTGGAAAGATTATTTTCGGGGCTACAATTTGGACACAAGAATGACCTTAAACGGAGTCCGGATGAGAGAGTTACGCCTGTTTAAAGTTTTCATATCTGTGCTGGAAGCAGGACCGCACGTGCGGAAAATACGGCGTACGTGCGGCGATGTGCGGGGCAGCAGCTCAAAAACGTGATTTTTGAGTCATTTCTTAGATTTTCTTTTCCTCTCTTCTTCTTCCCTCTTCCATGTCCGAAACCCTAGCTCCCAAAACCTTGATTTCCTCCACTTTTCTCAACAAATCAACCATGGATCTTGCATCAAGGATGGAGAATAAGAGGAGATCACCACTTTCTACCGAATGGAATTTCGAAATTTTTGAGGTATGTTGGGATTCTATTATGTGCATTGTGAGTCACCGCTAGAACCCGTGTGAGACACCTCTTGAGTTCATACAAGAATTTACAAGGGCATTCTTAATGCCAATTTACAAGGGCTTAACGCCAATTTACAAGGGCATTCTTAATGCTAATTTGCAAGGGCTTTATGCCAATGTTTAAGGGCTTTATGCCACCTTCCAAGGGCTTTATGCCAATGTCTAAGGGCTTTATGCCACCTTCCAAGGGCTTTATGCCAATGTCTAAGGGCTTTATGCCACCTTCCAAGGGCTTTATGCCAATGTCTAAGGGCTTTATGCCACCTTCCAAGGGCTTTATGCCAATGTCTAAGGGCTTTATGCCACCTTCCAAGGGCTTTATGCCAATGTCTAAGGGCTTTATGCCACCTTCCAAGGGCTTTATGCCAATGTCTAAGGGCTTTATGCCACCTTCCAAGGGCTTTATGCCAATGTCTAAGGGCTTTATGCCACCTTCCAAGGGCTTTATGCCAATGTCTAAGGGCTTTATGCCACCTTCCAAGGGCTTTATGCCAATGTCTAAGGGCTTTATGCCACCTTCCAAGGGCTTTATGCCAATGTCTAAGGGCTTTATGCCACCTTCCAAGGGCTTTATGCCAATGTCTAAGGGCTTTATGCCACCTTCCAAGGGCTTTATGCCAATGTCTAAGGGCTTTATGCCACCTTCCAAGGGCTTTATGCCAATGTCTAAGGGCTTTATGCCACCTTCCAAGGGCTTTATGCCAATGTCTAAGGGCTTTATGCCACCTTCCAAGGGCTTTATGCCAATGTCTAAGGGCTTTATGCCACCTTCCAAGGGCTTTATGCCAATGTCTAAGGGCTTTATGCCACCTTCCAAGGGCTTTATGCCAATGTCTAAGGGCTTTATGCCACCTTCCAAGGGCTTTATGCCAATGTCTAAGGGCTTTATGCCACCTTCCAAGGGCTTTATGCCAATGTCTAAGGGCTTTATGCCACCTTCCAAGGGCTTTATGCCAATGTCTAAGGGCTTTATGCCACCTTCCAAGGGCTTTATGCCAATGTCTAAGGGCTTTATGCCACCTTCCAAGGGCTTTATTCCAATGTTTAAGGGCTTATGCCACACCATTCAAGGGCTTTAAGCCAACCATTATGTTCAAGCTGATATGTTTCAAGAAAGGGCCTATAAAGTGAAACAGACTCAGACAAATCATGTGGACTTTGCATTGTATGCTTAAGTATATGTTTTAAAGTTTGGTAAACATATTTTTAAAGATTGATAAGTATATGTTTTAAAGTTTGGTAAGCATATGTTTAAAGATTGATAGGTATATGTTCTGAAGCTTAGTAAGTATGTGTTTTGAAGCTTAGTAAGTATATGTTTTGAAGCTTGGTAAGTATCTAAGGGCCTTGCGCCACTATGTTAATGGGCTTCGTGCCACCATGATTAAGGGTTTGTGCCACATTATACAAGGATATTAATCCAAACCATTATATTCAAGCCAATATGTTTCATGATAAGATCTAAGTCTATAATGAATAAGAACAGATTCAGACTCGCATTGTGAATGCTGCATTAGTATACGAAAGTACATGTTTGAAGCTTTGAATACCAGGTTGGAACTTTACTTGGCATTGTAGAATTTCAGAAATTGCATGGTCCGCTCGAGCGGAGACCCATTTTCAGGAACATTTGAAAAGTTGCATTTAGTTCGTATGTCTATCCTCACTTATTTCCAAAGCATATTAGACACAATTTATGGTTCAATAAATATTGAGATGTTACGAATCCATGTGTATTTCTATTATACAATGTTTCAAGTTAAGCAGTATTTTATTTATGTATTACTATTCACTGAGCTTGGCTCACCCTCCGTATGTCTGTTCCTGTAGGTAACCAACCAGGACGTTCGTCCCCTTTTGTCAACCTTTACGAGTCCAGGCACTAAGCGAGATCACTCAGTTTTGTGAAGCTTTGTTAAGACATTGTCTTGTTTTTTTTTTGATTACTCATTTAAGGTTAAATGTACATGACTTCAATGTTTTTGCATATGCCCAATCTTAGGGCTGGGGCTGTATATGTATATCTATATGACTGATGCTCACAGTATAATTTTGGCCTGTGACTGGTTATTATAATGTATATGATGCATGTGATCCTGGCATATTAGAGGTAGCTCAATGGAGTTTGTTATTATGTTAAATTTTAGTGCTTCCGCCAAGGCCCCATATATTACGTATAGTAGGTTAAGTGTCCGTTTCTGTATGGGTCATGCCCGAACTTTTAGGGGCGAGTTTGGGGCGTGACACTTCCTCTCTCGTACCTATGTTCTCGAGCCGAGGCAACTTTGGTGATGACGGACACGTGGCCTTTGGCACGAGTCATGGGTTTCCTAAATTTCCTCAAAACATAAAATATTTACGTGACGACTCTATATCTGGCAAAGTAGTTCAATTTGGGCACTTTTTGATTCAAAATCAATTTTTCAAAACGATTTGTCGAATTTGGACTCTTTGGTGTTTATCAGTTTCACATTGCACTTGTGAGATTAGATTCAGAACCACGGGAGTCCGAACTGTCGGGCTTTTTTTTTCAAACCTTTCGAAAGGGGGCGCGAAAAAGGTGGGCTATAACTATTACATTGATATGGAAACATTCATATCATTTGAATGCTGTCAAACACTCTCAAACATTTCCATCTCTTATCAAAATGGATGTATGCTCTTGATTGACACACCTATTGGACTATGCACTATTATCGTTTTATCATCTATTATAGTCTTGAATTTGGTACTACTTTGGTTTCTCATGTCAGATTTCTTAAGAGTACCTCCCATATATAATTCATGAAATTTTCTCTTGAGGCATACAAACATATTGCATAAACTTCACATCTTTATGCTTTTGCTTGAAATTGATTTGTGCTCTTCCTAGAACTTGCTTGTTTCCTTGAAATAGCATAATCTTTCATAATGAATGAACTCATTGATTCAAAACTCTTCCCATATATTTTCCTTGCCAAACAAAATGTGTGCTACACTCTAGATTATTTGAGCTAAATTGCTTCTTGGTATCACACTTATTGTTATATCTTTTTAGCTAAACTTAGCATATGTCTCCATGACTTGATTTGTCATTTTCAAACATGCCTTTGTGAAATCATGGCATTTATCAATACCTCATTCTACATTGTGAAATCTGTCATTATGTGTTTTTGATAATGTCACAGGGGGAGAAATGGTGATGTTTTGTTTGAGATAGATTGTGGGAGAAATGGTAAATAGATTGGGGGAGAAAATGGTAATGTGTTTTTGAACGTGTTTTTGAACTTAATGGTGTTATGTTTTTGGTATCTTAGCATGGGCAAAATTTTCCTATTTGGTATCTGTGATGTGTTTTTGAGTGTATTTTTGAACTTAATGGTGTTATGTTTTTGGTATCTTAGCATGGAAAAAGTTTTCCTATTTGGTATTTGTGGTGTGTTTTTGAACGTGTTTTTGAATTTCATGGTGCTATGTTTCTGGTATCATATCATGGTAATTTTTTTTCCTATTTGGTATCTTAATCTCTTTTTGTGTTTGGATTGATTACCATAATACTAACTTGCATATCTACTATGAGCAATCATTTAGGGGAAGCATGACTTGAGGGGGAGCATTTCTTCCTCCCAAACAAATCAAAACATATCGTGTGCCATCATCAAAAGGGGGAGATTGTTAGACATATTTGATTTTGATGATTGTTTCTATTTTGTTTAAATTCTGTTTTGATTTATTTGAAAGAACAAAATAAATTTAATTATTATAATTTATTCCATGATATTTTCATCCATGTTTATATCCTAATCATGCCATTCTTAAGTTCAAAATAAGGCTTACAAATGTACGAAACTAGTGCACCAGAGTAGTAGTAGTAGAGCAGAACACAGGAGGCCGAGCCCACAAGGGACCAAACGTGTGATGCCCCAAAAATTGGGAACATCAAATAATATATTAACAATTAAATACAGGGTTTATCAAGCTGTAATTCCATATTTAGGGAGTCAATTAATCACTATTAGAATATTAGAAAATGATTCTCAAGTTACTGAAATTGATTAGGGTTTGTGAGTTTTCAGTTGGCGCATATATTTTGATCCTAGGGTTAAAATTGCAATTAGTTAAGAAACTGAGGGACTTCAAGGAAATAATTTAAAAGTAAGGAACTTTTAAGAAAGTAAAATTTTTAGGGGCCTCACAACCTATCCCCCTTAAAACAATTTCGTCCTCGAAATTTTTTCCGTTCTTTATATCTCGAAATGCTTTGATACCAAGTTGTGGTTGTGGCCTTGAGTAGGGCTTCAGGGCCGTATTTCCCTTTTGGCTCCTCTAAGGTCCTACAGATGTCTGATCCCCTTTCTGCTTATTCCAAATTTTCCTAGCCTCAGCTACTTCCTTTTCAGATTCTAATGTCGTCTCCATTACCTCGGCATAGGAATGGAGCTGTTGCGGTAGAACTCTCTCCCTGATTGTAAGATCTAGCCCCCATTCGAACATTCTCACTTTCTCTTCAACATTTGCTACATACCTAGTTGTGTAGCGAGCTAGCTCTTCAAATTTTGTAGTGTGTTGGGTTACGATCATATTCCCCTGCTCCAGGTTTTGGAATTCCCTGACTTGTTCTCGACGAACTGTACTTGGAAAATATTTATTCAGAAACAGATCCTTAAACTGGTTCCATGACATGTTTGTAGTGTCACGGGTATTCTTGATTAGTTCCTACCAATGATCAGCCTCATCATCTAGCTTGAATATAGCCAAGGTTATTTTGTTGGCATCTTCTGTTATCCCCATAGTGTCCAACATTTTCTCTATCTGCCGAAGTCAATTTTCAGCCACTCTCTGGTCTGGTACTCCTGTGAACTTTGGGGGCCTTTGTTTTCTGAATTCTGAAAAGAGTCGATTCTTCTCATTTTGCTGATTGTTCCTTAGTTATCCTAGTTCTTCTACAATTTGATGCCCGAGATTATTAGGGATATTGGCTCCCATGGGTACGAGTCCATGCTGATTTCTGGGACAGTTCTGGGCAGTGTTGCTAGTCTCTGAGTAGTCATTAGCTTGTGTATCCACTATTCTGTCCATGGCACGAGATAAGTTGTTTTCTAGACTTGAAATTAAGGTTTAATTTTCTTAGGTTGTGGCGAAATATTAAAGCAAGTAACAACCTACAAATATAGATCAAATTGTCATTTCATATAGTTACCATAGGTAAAATAATAACTACCAGAGTTTGGTTAATGGAATGATTACGAAGTGGAGATCGAAGAGAATGAAGGGGTAATAACATCAGTTAACACAAGGATCATCTGAAATATGGATAAATAATATAACGGAATGGATAACATTACGATTTCAGACGTTAATACGGGCAAGGTTATAGAGGTAGTGACTAAGCTAGATATTTTACTTGAAACTACGTTGGCCATCTGCATTTCAAACTGAATATCCAAGATTCGTCACTAAGTAAAGAAAATGAAACTATTTATAAGAAGCCTTGCGCTAAATAATCAGGGCTCAAGGGAGGTCAATTTTACAAAGGATAGTATATAAAATAAAACTAGATGGTCATGACTTAATCTTGAAAAAGGATGTCATTGAATGAAGGTTATGAATACAAGATGAGGGTACGACGATCGATAGAAGACGTGTAGAACTAATAATGCCCCTACTGCGGGATGTGAGGCCTTGCTCAAAGTTAAAACCACTTCTCGATCCTGAAATACGTCCTGATGAGTCAATGTTACTATGCCCAAAATTTGTACAAACGCCCTAAGGTAAGTCAATAAAATTTCTATTTTTGATGTCTTTTAGTTGATAGAATAGGTAGTGCTATAATAATATAACATAGTCGGAGCAAGGTGGTCTCTAACCGCAAGTCAAAATGCATGGGTAAAGGTTGAACCTAGGCTTTGATACCAAGTTGTGATGCCCCAAAAATCGGGAACATTAGATAATATATGAACAATTAAATATAGGGTTTATCAAGTGGTAATTCCATATTTAGGGAGTCAATTAATCAGTATTAGAATATTAGAAAATGATTCCTAAGTTATTGAAATTGATTAGGGTTTGCGAGTTTTCAGTTGGCGCATATATTTTGATCCTAGGATTAAATTGCAATTAGTTAAGAAACTAAGGGACTTCAAGAAAATAATTTAAAAGTAAGGGACCTTTAAGAAAGTAAAATTTTCAAGGGCCTCATAGGACGACTGACGGTTGATCGACCAGACCATTTTTTGGCAATTTTCTTCTGTAACTTTGGGCAGTGAGAGACAACCTGGCAGACATCTGGGAGGATGTTTGGTCAAACAACTAACCAAGGCATTTTGGCCCAGTTTTGTTCTAAAGTAGTTTTGTTTCGCTCTAGATGTCGGACTAGCTATATGCTCGACAACGCATAGACACAAAGCTTTGTTTTGGATGTCCAGACAGACGTCTTTCTGTGCAAAGTAGCTTATATCAGAACTGTTGCTGTGAAGAGAAAAGAATTGTTTTTGCATCAGTGACCCATCATTCAATAGGCAAAATGTTAGTGAATATTTGAGGCATCAATTTAATATCATCCTTAGCCATCACTAGCCCATCTCCTCAATGGGAAGAAGAGAATAGGCTCTGTCAGATATAATAGAGCACCACCTCTGTTACGTACAAAGCTCTGTGAACAAGAGCAAGCATAGAGACAGAGCAACAAAGAAAGGTGCTATAAACGTTTTCAATCCTTCATCACTCTCATTTTTCTCTATTTTCTGAAGTGTTCTTCATTGGTTTTCATTTTCCATTCAGAAATTACAATGAGCTTTGGCCTTAAGCAATTATTCATGTGAGAGGATTTACAAAAAAGTTCTGAGCTTCAATATTGTATATCTATCTTTGAGAAATTATTCTTGTAGCTTTCTTTGAAAGAAAAAACACCTTTATCTCAAACTTGTAAGAGTGTAGTACACTCAGGTTTCTTGACTCTTTGAGTGTGAATGAGAATCACCTAAGGAGTGCAAGGTTTTAGAGTTGGAAAGTCTATGTAAAATCTGTGGAGGATTGCTCCATTTGTGAAGAGCTTGCTAGCACCCCTGTGAAGCTAGACAATATTGGAAAATCTCAAGTGAATCTTGAGGAGTGGATGTAGGCTTAGTTAAAACT